GGTATAGCTGCTGGGTGATGACCTCGAAGTGGGCAGCGGTGTAGCTGCTTGGGGGTTGTCTTTGGTACCGGAGGCTGAAGCCTCAGTTGTCCGCCATAGCCTCGGACTGTACGTGGAGGAAGAAGAAGGGTTGCCATGGCTATGGTGGACCTCATCTTATGCCTGCAGTAGAAGTGGGATTCGGACATTGATTCTGTTTCAGCTGTTCAATATTATTATTGTTTATTTATTGTTTGAATAAGAGAGGAGGAGATAAAAAGGAGGAGGTTGTTGAGCGAAGAAGAAGAGCTTTGTCTTTGGTCTATGCTGGAGCACATCATCTCTTTCTTCTTTCTTACTTCTTCTTCTTCTTTTTTCCCTCTCTCTCCTTTCAAGCTCTTTCATTTCTTTTGCAATTGGACGGCATTGGGCTCAAGTTCATTCATTTCTTTTCGCAATTGGACAACATTGTACTTTCTGATGATTGTGGACTTCAAAATCGGTCAGGATCGTAACATTGGTAGCAAATCTGATTCTACTTGTTGGCGAGAGTTGACTTTGCTGCCATAACCCTAACCTTAATGGTAAGGGCTACCATTTAGGGTAAGGGCTGGAAGTTAGGGTTAAGTGGGGCAGCGTGGTAAAGGGAAGCTGCCCCCACCTGGCAGGGCCGTGTAGGGTCGACACTAGACCCGGCTAGGTTGCTTGAGTGCATGTTTGTGGTGGCGAGACACAAGGTGGGACTTCGTGATGCAATTTGAGCGAGGCAACAGTGATGGGCACCTACAACTTGAATCTGGACTTCAAGGAAGACGAGGAGTGACTTTAGGGCTCCCCTCAAGTAGGCGAGCTTGAGGGTGGCAGCCATATCTGCACCTATGGACTGCAAGTTGCTGCTTTGATCTTCAACATTGACGGGGGATCCGACTTTGTACTTTGGGGTAGATGTTGACCCTCCTAGATGATAGGACACTAGTGTAGAGGATGCTAATTGGGTCAGGAGGACTATGTGAGAGGGGGGTGAGTTCTTTTCATCTCAAGAGCCCGGCCACTCAGGTAAGTGTCGTGCCACCAGGGTGCCCATGTGTGTATGCATGGAGTTGACTGCATGTTGGGGTTCTCTGGGTTCTTCTTCCATCCTCCATAGTCTTGATTGTGTGTGAGGTGTGTGAACTGCCTAGTCACCTGATGAGTGAATGAATGGAGTATCTTGTTTGCTATGTGATATCTTTCTACAATGCTTTGTTTATTTCATTCTGAACGGCGGTAGTCTACAGGTTCTTTCTGGGGCAAAATTTCGTCTTTCAATTCAAGTAGGGACAAAGTAGGTCTCCGTGGAACTCTTGTTGGTTGGGACCCGATTCTGACTCCACTGGGACCATTTGGGACTCAGTGGGACCGGGCCCAAACAAGAAGGGCCCCTCAGGCCCAATCTGTTGACGTCAGTTACGTTGCTCTATCTGATTGGGATACGGACTTTATGCTTTCGGACCAGGACACTCGCTGCGGAGGGGATCTCCGCTGGGATGTTTTATCAGACTTTACCGCGCAATCCGTCGCCTGACTCGCACCTTATACACCACTCAATTCTCTCTTGCATTTCACTATACATCTTGAATCTGATTTGTTGTGTTCTCACGGAGCTAAGGCTGGCTAGGCTTGGGAGGACCCCATACGTAGTCAGTCCCGACTGTGCGGCTGGATCAGATCTCTCTGATCTTTTTTTTTTTTTTGCTGTTTTGACTGCTCTCTAGTCCAAATGAATTGCCGCTCCGGCTAGGAGTTCTACCTTCTCTTCTGAATGATTTCAAGTTGTTTCTTTCATTGGGTTGTTTAATGCCTGCGTCTACACGGTTGCAAACGAGAGAGAGAGAGAGAAGAGAGAAGTTATTGAGTGTTGCTTTTGAGGGAATGAGGAGAGGGAAGAGGAGCATTCGTCACAAAGCTGAGAGGAAGTACGGACCCCTCTTGAGAGTCTTACGGACACCCTCATCCTCCATCATGGCATCTGCAGCAGATTGGAAACTGCAGATGGACGCTGCCCCTGAGGCAGAAAAACCGCAGTATCAGTTCTTCTACGAGAAAGCCTTGAAGAGGGAGGAGGAAGAGAAAGAGAGAGAGATAAGGGATAAGGTGCAGGCTCACGAGGCCGTCCTTRRCACCRTGTCCGCTCTGACTGATGAGGAGGTRGAAGAGAAAACGGTTCCCCTCCTCAGAGCCTTAGCAGGGGTCCGGGTTGCTGAGGACCATACTGGCCAACTCGCGCAGGTGTTTAAGCAGCTCAAGGAGTTGCGCGAAGACATGGCCAAGATGGCGCAGCAGCACTACGATCAGCTGCAACAGTTTGCTAGTTCGCAGCAGGCTCAAATCGTCTCTTCACTCACCTACCCTGCCTCCAATGCTGCGTGTCAGTCCAGTTTTGCCCCTCTGAATACGTCTACTTCTTCTCCTTCTAATTCTTCTTCTTCTTTGAGTGTGGTTAACACCCAAAGCGGATCTGCAGCAAGTCCAGACCCCGTTGCTGTTGTTGCTGCTGCTGCAGCGACAAGTAGTGGTGCAGGGACTTCTGTAACTGTTGCAGCCCCGGGCCCGGACCCACCAATGGCTGGGTCGGGCAGCAACTGTGCTTACCTCGACAGGAAGGCGGTACAGATTCCGTCCAAGTACGACGGAAAAAACGACATCGAGTCATGGATCAGCACCATGCGGTCCTACTTTGATGTGTTGGGGACACCCCCAGTCACTCAGTCGTCAGTCCTTGGGACCAATGTGGAACCTGCCGTGAGAGGATTTCTAGAAATCGAAGTTGTACAAGCAGGCTATAAACGTATAGACCTGAACAAATGGTTGAAGGCTATGCCTGTAGCCACACTTGAGGATCTCTTGATTCAACAGTATACCGATCTACATGCTGCAGCAAACAAGACTTATGATAAAAGTCTGCAGCAGTATGTCCGTAAGCTCTTTGCTACTCCTAATTTGGAAATGACTGCACAGTCTTGCTTGGATGTGATAAAAGCAATGGTCCCCTCTGCTGAAATTCGTCGCATGGGCCTCAAACTCGCGGAATATACAGATTGGCTTTCCCTCATGCGAGATCTAGTCAAGCTGGAGACACAAGACCTCCCGGGTGGATCGAGTGGCAAAAGAGCCCTTAACCGCAAACGGTTTCCTGACAGCAACCGTTTAGCAGCACACGATCTGCTAGAGGATGACGAGGAGATCCTCGCAGACAACCCTTCTCTTGATGACGATCAAGAGCAAGGTTGTGGGGCATCATGCTCTGCGTCAGCCCACGAGACTGAGTTGGTGAATGATGAGGAATCCATGAATGTCTTTAAGAAGACTGCCTTTAAAAGCAAGGGATCGAGGACCACAATGAAGAACAACACTAACACTACCATTCTTCCCAAGGGAACAAAGATTCCACAAAAACCGGAAGATCCTGCCACAAAACCATGGGTAGATCTCCGGATTAGTGAAAGTGAGTGGAAAAACAGGGTGAAGAGAGGAGTTTGCCTGCATTGCACCAAACCGGAACATTCAGTCCAACACTGTTTCAGATTGCATCAGGGAAACCAGCAACGGGGGTAGAGGCATCATCAGCACACTCTACAGATGGAGAGGCTGAACATGTAAGTACAGATTCTTCCTTGGATTCTGATCCCACTCAACAAACCTCTCCTGAAACCCCATCTGATGCTGATTCCAAGGCTGAAAAGTTACACATCCTATACAAGGAGCCTTGGGTAGAGTCGGAAGAGATTGACTTTCATGCTCTGTTGACGCGCTTGGCTCACATGAAGCAAGAACGCGCACAAGGAAGGACGAAGTTGATCTTCTTCAAACTCTACATTAATGACCGTTACGTCCATGCGTTGGCTGATTATGGTGCAACCGCCAACTACTTCTCACCGCACGGCATTCGTAAGGCACGCTTGGGGATGAAGCAAGTGACTTTGCAGAATCCTTGTCKGACCCAAGTAGGCAACCAAGAGGTTGTCACTTCCACTCATGCAGTCAAAGGTGTGCGCACTACCTTTGACGCTGATCGCACAATCACGCATGAATTGAACTTCTATGTCCTTGATCAGTGCCCCTTCRACGCGGTTATTGGCTTGGGCTGGTTGCAGGCCCAATGTGAAAGAACCACGTGGAAGGACTCACAATTCATGGTCAAAGATGCCATGGGGATCGAGCGTCCTGTCCTCTTGGATGAGCCGCGCGAGTCCCAAGTGACCTTTTTCAATGCAACGCAATTCTGCAAAAAGTGGCGCAAGCGCAAAACTGATGAGCAAATGTGTATAGCCTTTGTTAGGTCTGCTCATGTGCCTTCTATTTTTGTTGTACATAGTGATTCTACTTTGCATGCTGTGTCCACCTCGGATGCAACTACTTCTACTTCTACTAAGTCCATCTCTAGTCCAAATGACTCTACTTCTCATCCTGTTCTTTTGGCTGCACCTATACAAACTAACATGCTTGCTCTTGAGAGTGATGATCCCCCTCCGAAAATCCCACCGGACATTCGCAACCTTCTCAACCGATTTCCTGACGTYTTGGCCGAACCGCATGGAGTTCTCGTGCGTCCGGTCCGACACAGGATCGAGTTGATTGAATGTAGCACTCCTCCAAAGGGTTGTGTCTATCGAATGGGCTCAGGCGAAATGGAGGAGTTGCGAAGGCAGATTGATGAAATGATTGGGAAGGGATGGATCAAGCCGAGTAAGTCGGAGTTTGGTGCACCGGTGTTGTTTGTCCCTAAGAAAGGAGGTAAGTTGCGGATGTGTATTGACTATCGCGGGTTGAATCAGATCACGAGAAAGAATGCATATCCTTTGCCACGTATCGATGATTTGCTTGATGTTGCGGGTGGGTGCAAAGTCTTCAGCAAGATCGATCTCAAGTCTGGCTACCACCAGATCGAAGTCGATCCTGCGGACCAGCACAAAACTGCATTCAAAACTCGCGATGGGTTGTACGAGTTTACCGTCATGCCCTTCGGTCTCACGAATGCGCCAGCCACCTTTCAAAGTCTCATGGACAAAGTGTTCCGCCATCAGATTAACCAGTTTGTTGTTGTTTATCTGGATGACATACTGATCTTCAGCAAATCGATGGAGGAGCACATGAGACACCTTGAGGAAGTGATGCARATCCTCAAGGACGCGCAACTTCATCTCAACTTGGAGAAATCTGAGTTTGGGAGGGACAGTGTCATCTACCTTGGACATCGGTTGTCTGTTGCAGGCCTAGAGCCCGAGGCAACCAAGGTTGAGGTCATCCAAAAGTGACCCCAACCTACGAATGTCCGCGAGTTGCATTCTTTTTTTGGTCTTGCGTCGTATTACCGCAAGTTTGTGCCTAAATTTTCTATYATTGCCCGTCCATTGTCTAGACTAACAAGCAAGAATGTATCCTACGCATGTAATGAAGAATGCACGACAGTCTTTGAAGCATTGAAAGAGGCTTTGGTGAGTCATACGGTGCTCCGCATTGCAGATTCCAAGCTTACATTCGTAGTAATTACGGATGCGAGTTTGTATGGGATTAGTGCAGTGTTGCAGCAAGATGATGGTGATGGTTTACGTCCGCTGGAATACTACAGCAAACGCATGCCCAGCCACAAGGTAGCTGCCTCCACTTTCATGAGAGAGCTCTATGCCTTGAGAGAGGCACTAGACCATTGAAAACACTACCTCTTGGGTCGCCATTTCAAAGTGTTATCGGATCATGAGACTTTGAAGTGGATTCAGACACAGATAAACCCATCAACTACGCTGACCCGCTGGCTGCATGAGATTGATGTGTATGATTTTGAACTAAAACAAAAGAAAGGCTGCTATGATCGTGTTGCGGATGCTTTGTCTCGCCACCCCGAGTACATGACTTGCCTAGTGGGTTCCTACGATCTTCGCAAGGACTTACAGAAGGAACTCATTGAGCACGTTGCCAAGGATTCGGAACTCCGTCCCATCCTTGAACAGATTCGGGCTGACCCTAGCAGTCAGCCTAATTTCCATGAATGTAAGGGCCTTCTCTTCCGACGCTACGATAAACATGACCGGTTGTGTGTAACCAACCATAAGCCAATCATCACTCACTTCTTGGATTTGGCTCATGGTCGGAGTGGACACTTCGGTGTTGAGAAGACATACGGGAATCTGTTGGAAAGGTTTGTGTGGCCTGGAATGAAAAGAATGGCACAAAGGTTTGTGGCTGAGTGTGAAGTTTGTCAGCGCATTAAACCGTCTCGGCAAAAGCCCTATGGCCTGTTGCACCCTCTTCCTATCCTTGATGACCCGGGTGAGTCTGTTTCCATTGACTTCACGGACATGGGGAAGAAGAGCAGAAACGATTATTCGCAAGTGATGGTGATCATTGATCGGTTTTCGAAATTTCTAAATCTGATTCCCTTCCCACCTCACGCCCCAACTGATCTTGTGATCGATGAGTTCAACAAAAGGTACGTGCTACATTATGGCCCCCCGAAAACTCTTGTGAGTGATCGGGACACCAGGTTCATAAGCGCAGACTGGAAAGATTTCACCTAGCAGACCTACAACATGAAACTCAAGATGACGTTTGGGCGACATCCCGAAGCCAATGGACTGGCTGAGGAAATCAACCAGACCGTGATCCAACTTCTCAGGGCTCTAATTGTACCTGATCAGAACTCTTGGGATGAGGAGTTGCCGATTGTGCAGGGGTTGTACAACAACTTCATCCACTCCTCCACCGGGATGACACCTAACCGGCTGCATCTTTGATGGAAAATCCGCAATCCTCTATCCTATCTATTTTCTGATCAGCCACCTGGCCTAACACATGGCCAGCCAGGCTACGGTGCCAAGTTTGATCGCCTACTCAAAGTTGTTGTCGCAACTATGGAGAGGTGACGCAGTGCCATGATTAAACATGCTAACAAGAAGCGCCAGTCTGCACCATTCACAGTGGGAAGTTATGTCTGGGTCAAAATGTCTGAGTTTTCTGAAGAAGAAGGTGTCTCACGAAAGCTTCTTCCTCAGTACTACGGTCCGTGGCAGGTCTTGAACCAGGTAGGGAGTGATTCCTTCGGTCCTTCCTACACGATTGATGTGCCTGCACATTTGCGCACATACCAAGTTTTTCATGCGTCAAAATTGTTTCCATATGAACCACCTGAAACGTTCAAGTACCGAGAGTCAATGATTCCCCGCGCAATCAATGGCGACCATGAGGTTGATAGGATTGTCGAACACAATGGGAAGGGAAGAAATAGACAATACAAAGTTGATTTTCTGTACCATCCGTTGGACGATTTCTATTAGATTGCTAGGAAAGACTTACTGCAGAGTGCACCGCGTGTCGTTAATGCCTATGAACGATTGATAAGTGCTGAAACAAAGTTTACTGCTACCCTGACTCCTACGGAACACGCCCCATCTCTTTTTGTTATCTACGCCTATGATGCACTATGCAAGGACTCTGATTGAGTTACTCGCTCGAAGGGACCTCGTTCTTGAGGGGGGTGTAGTTTAATGACCCGTCATAACACAGACTGAGAACACTGCTGATTTCTGAAGTTCTGCCGATGGAATGGATGCCTTGATGAGATTCCCGCATTCTGCTGTGTTTTCTAAGTCTGTCTGTGTGTGTGCGTGCTTGTGACCTGCATGCCTGTCTGAGTGCTTGTTGGTATGAGTGTGTGTGGGACCCGCAAGGGTACTTGCTTGTTTGGTAGGCCCGTAGGGCCGGTACTTACCTGTGGCCGTGGCATTGAGGGTTGTGGCAGGGAAAACACTCAAGTGGCGAAGCTAGCGGCCCTGAGGCCCTTGGGGKAGCGGAAAAACACTCAAGTAGGCCGGTAGGCCGATACTGCACCCCACTGTAGTTGACGTGAGGGGTACTGGAGGCCGAGCAGAAAAAGTCAAAGTTGGCATTTTTAGAGTCCAGTAGCGGTAGGGTAGGTCTAGGCCGGTACCAGTCCAACCAGTCTGAGTCTAGAGCCTGTACGGGTAATATCAGGGTCTGCAATGATGTTTCCCTCCGAAACAGAGGAGGTACCGGTTGCTTGTAGAGGCCGAGCGGCCTGGAAGTCACCGCCCAAGTGGCAAGCAGGCCGCTATATCTAGAGGCGTTGGCAAGAGTTCTGCCTCATTCTTCAGTGTGCGATTTGGGCGTCACGCTGCTGGAGCACTAGGTGGTGAAGCGCTGGGCACTACAGCGCTGCTGGGAGGAAGAAGTCGGGAGCTCCCACCTTGGCTATGGTGGAGCTCTACCGGTAGGAGGAGGAGGGAGAAGGGGACCAAGGAGGAGAGTGGCGAGGTACTTACTGGCTATGGTAGACACCATCTCCATCTCCTTGCTAGGCGCTGCATCAGGAAGGCCCCAGTGGGGGTAGTGCCGCATCAAGGAAGCTCGGACAGAGTCAGGCATGGCGGTTGAGTGGGCAGCGACATAGCTGCTGGGTGATGACCTCGAAGTGGGCAGCGGTGTAGCTGCTTGGGGGTTGTCTTTGGTACCGGAGGCTGAAGCCTCAGTTGTCCGCCGTAGCCTCGACCTGTACGTGGAGGAAGAAGAAGGGCTGCCATGGCTATGGTGGACCTCATCTTATGCCTGCAGTAGAAGTGGGATTTGGACATTGATTCTGGTTCGGCTGTTCAACATTATTATTGTTTATTTATTGTTTGAATAAGAGAGGAGTAGATAAAGAGGAGGAGGTTATTGAGCGAAGAAGAACAACTTTGTCTTTGGTCTATGCTGGAGCACATCATCTCTTTCTTCTTTCTTACTTTTTCTTCTTCTTCTTTCCCTCTCTCTCCTCTCAAGTTCTTTCATTTCTTTTGCAATTGACCGGCATTGGGCTCAAGTTCATTCATTTCTTTTCGCAATTGGAGAACATTGTACTTTCTGATGATTGTGGACTTCAAAATTGGCCAGGATCGCAACACATGTAAATCTCCACTTTCCATTCGGTGATTTCATGCATAAGAGTAAGTTTCACTCACCCTCCCTTCATTTTCTCTTTATTTCTTCACTTAGTAGTAAATCGTAACTTTTGGTTGTGCTCTTTCTAGTGTTTTGGATGATTTTTCACTCTTGTGTTTGTCCATTCCTTGACTCCCATAAAAATCGTCACTTTCCATTTTGTGATTTCATGTATCACTCTCCCTTCATTTTCTTTCCATTTCTTTACTTGGTAGTAAATCGCAACTTCGGTTTGTCCTCATTTTAGTGTTTTGGAGCATCTCTCACTCTTGTTTCGTCAATTCCTTGTACTTGGTGATAGTTTGATTCTTTCTTAGTTGCTCAACTTGTGTGGAGCATTTGTTTTCTCTTGTCGCACTCATGCTTTGTCCACTCCTTGCACTTGGTGATAGTGTGATTCTTCCCTAGCTGTTCAACTTGTGTGGAGCATGTGTTTTCTCTTGTCGCACTCATGCTTTGTCCACTCCTTGCACTTGGTGATAGTCTGATTCTTCCCTAGCTGTTCAACTTGTGTGGAGCATGTGTTTTCTCTTGTCACACTCATGCTTTATTCATTCCTTTCACATGGTGACAATCGATTCTTCCCTAACTGTTCAACTTGTGTGGAGCATGGTGACAATCGATTCTTCCCTAACTGTTCAACTTGTGTGGAGCATGTGTTTTTCCTTGTCACACTCATGCTTTGTTAATGTGTTTTCTCTTGTCGCGCTTATGCTTTGTCCACTCCTTGCACTTGGTGATAGTCCGATTCTTCCCTAGCTGTTCAACTTGTGTGGAGCATGTGTTTTCCCTTGTCACACTCATGCTTTGTCCATTCCTTGCACTTGGCGATAGTCCGATTCTTCCCTAACTGTTCAACTTGTGTGGAGCATGTGTTTTCCCTTGTCACACCCATTCTTTGTCAATTTCTTGCACTTGGTGATAGTCTGATTCTTCCCTAGCTGTTCAACTTGTGAAATGCATGAGTTTTCCTTGTCACACCCACGTTTTATCTATTCCTTGCACTTAGTGATAGTCCGATTTTTCCCTAGTTGTTCAACTTGTGAAATGCATGAGTTTTCTCTTGTCATACTCATGCTTTGTTCATTCCATACACTTGGTGAGAGTCTGATTCTTCCCTAGATGTTCTACTTGTGAAATGCATGAGTTTTTCTTTGTCACACTCATGCTTTGTTCATCCCTTGCACTTGGTGACAGTCTAATTTTCCCTAGTTGTTCAACTTGTGAAATACATGAGTTTTCCCATGTCACACCCATGCGCTGTCCTTTCCTTGCACTTGGTGATAGTCCGATTTTTCCTTAACTGTTCAACTGGTGAAATGCATAAGTTTTTCCTTGTCACACTCATGTTTTGTCCATTCCTTGCACTTGACGATAGTCAAATTCTTCCATACCTATTCAACTTGTGAAATGCGTGAGTTTCCTTTGTCACACTAATGCTTTGTCCATTCTTTGCACTTGGTGATAGTCCGATTCTTC